TGAATTAGAGAGATTAAGACTTGAAGCAGAGACAAAGTCTCAAAATACCGGGCAGATCCGGCCGAAAACGGAGCTGCGTCACCTTATGCAGAAATTCGATGACAAGAAAGGAGATATCAGTCTATATTTGCTATTGTTTGAAAGGCAAGCAGAATGGGCTAAAATTGATAAGGAAGAATTTGTATCTCATTTACTAGAACTACTTCCTTACGAAGTAACCCAGTTAATAGCTAGAGAACCCTCCGATAAAGCTAAAGACTATGAACACGTGAAAAATTTATTGTTAAGACGGTTTAATCTATGCCCGGAAAAGTTTAGGCAGAAAATTATGAAACATCAAAAAAGTACTGAATCCACATGGGTGGATTTCAATTATGAAATAGAAAATTATTGCAAAGAATGGGTGACTGGTCTAGGAGTTAAGACTTTTGATCAGTTGCTATATTTGATGGTGCTTGACCAACTTAAACGTCGAGTTCCTCCTGAAATTCGAGATCATTTTCTTGATGAATGGGTAGACATGATTTCATCTAAAAAATTAGCTGAAAAACTTGATGCCTATGAAAACGCTTGGGGAAACTTTCAAAAAAGGCCTGTAGTGGATCGGCAGAAAGAAAGATACAATGCACTAACTCAAGGTAAATTGAGTTCAGATAATAAAAATAAAACTGAAAAAAAATTGTCATCAGGATTTAATTCACAAAACTTGTTTCATAGACCTAGAATTCCACATCCAGATGATAAATATGAAAAACGAAAAACGCCACAATGCTATCAGTGTGGGTCCTATCAACATTTAAGGCCCCAATGTCCAAAACTTAAGAATAGTACTGAATCTCCTGCTAATCTCAACAGAATTAGTGCAAAACCAGAGGATAAATTTCTATTACCTTATACTAGTATGGGTTACGTAAATGGTCATAAAATTCCTATATTAAGGGATTCAGGTGCTAGTATTGATATAGTTTGTCGCAAATACATCACGCCAGAAATGCTGACAGGTGAAAATGTGGGGTGCAACAGCCATTAGATTTGAATCCAACCTGTTTACCATTGGCTGAGATCGAACTAAATTGCGATCTTGGGCGAGTAATAACTAAGGCTGCCATTATTAGAAATGAACTCGACAAAGGAAGGTATTTATTAGGCAATCGAACTTTTGCACTGTTGAATAAACAAGGAAAGGAACCTGATAGTTGTCCTCACCAGGTTAATGCTGTCTCTACTAGAGCTCAAAAGAAAAGAGAAATAGCCAAAGAGAAGATCTTGGAACGATGAAGGAAGAAAATAAAGCATCCAGAGATGTTTTTGAAGAAGAAGATAATTTACCGGAGCTAAATTCGGAAGGTGAAACTCTCATGAAACTGGTAAACATTGACTCAGAAGAAATTGCACAACTTCACCTTGCTGATAAGGAACTGTCTAAAATCATCCAAGAAGTTAAAGAAGGTACATGCAAAAATGAGAACTATAGCCTGACAGGAAAAGAACTTTTAGTTAAAAAAACGACGGATAAAATGGGCTTTGAAAGACAGCTTGTCGTTATACCTGAAAAACTCAAGCCGTCAATTATAAAGATGTGCCACGAAGGAACTTCTGGACATTTGGGTGTCAAAAAGACCAAAGACAGACTTGCTAGATAATTTTACTGGACGAGGTGTTACAAAGAAACTGAAGATTTTGTAAGAACCTGTGATGCGTGTCAGCGCGCTGGAAAAGGAAATGACAAAAAGAAGGCTCCAATGACATTAGTACCAGTAATTTCCGAAATATTCACTAAAATAAATGTCGATGCGTTGGTCCGCTACCTATTTCAAAGACTGGAAAAAATATATTATTACAGCTCTGTGTATGTCGTCCAAATATCCAGATGCTGTTGCGGTGACAGACATTTCTTCGCCATCTGTGATTGATGCTTTCTTACAGGTTTTCAGTCGTATGGGTTTCCCAAAAGTGATCCAAACAGATCAGGGGACCTCTTTCGTCAGTGCTTTGACGGAGGAATTTTTGGAGCGTTTCGGAATTAAACATGTAACAAGCTCTGTGTATCATCCGCAGAGTAATCCCGTTGAGCGATTCCATAGAACGCTAAAAAGGGTGTTAAGAGTCGTATGCATAAGAGCGACTTCTGATTGGGAGAATTATCTACCATCAGTTCTTTTTGCTCTCAGAGCAGTCACACACGAAAGCACTGGTTTCACACCAGCAGAATTAGTTCATGGCAAAAAACTACGAACGCCAGTCACTTTACTTTATGAGCAGTGGCTAGAACCGATTGAAGAAAGTAATAATGTTGTCAGTTACGTTTTCGAACTTATTAATCGAATGAAGAAATGCCAAGAACTTGCCGTGGAAAACATGAAAGAAGCTCAACAACGGAGGAAAACATGGTACGATCGAAACGCAGTGAAAAGAGAATTTACTAGAGGAGATTTAGTTCTTGTTTTTTATCAAACGAATCGTCAAAATAAACTAGAAGTACAGTGGAAAGGACCTGGAAAATAGAGCAAAATTTCAGAAAGCAATTATATTGTAAGTTTCGAGGAACAAAATGAGCCAAATCAAGTATATCACATTAACATGCTTAAACCATATTACAAAAGACCAGAAATGATTAATATGATAATTGAAGTGGAAGGAAGACTTAGAAATGGACACATCCTCATTTACCTTCCAATCCAAGTATATTCAATTTTTCGGACATCCATAGAGGAGAATGAACTCGAGAAAAGGTTGAAACCCGAGCAAAATATAAGATTTACGAAAGATTTTTATGGAAATATTCTGGTTGTTTTTCAAATAATCCTGGACTAACAAACTTAGTTTGTCACGATATTGAGCTATTAAATAACGAACCAATACGAAAACCAGAAAAGTAACCATACAGACTGTCACCCCGACAGACTGAAATTCTCAAAAAGGAAATCAGAAAATGCTCGATCTTAAAATTATAGAGCCGGGAGAATCGGACTATACATCTCCCATGATTTTGATAGAATCTTCATCATCAAAGGATCCTCGGATCCTCGGCCTTGTATTGATTATCGTAAACTCAATGCTGTTACTAAAACTGAATACTATCCTTTGCCTAATATTGAAGAACGTATCGAAACTGTAGCAAAAGCAAAATATATTACCCTAATTAGATTTATCTAGAGGCTACTGGCAAATTCCGTTAACAGAAAGAGCCCAAAGATATGCAACATTTGTAACTAGTTTTGGAACTTTCAGGCCTCTACGTTTACCCTTTGGATTAAAAAATGCCCCATATTTTTTTAGCAAAGTTATGACTAAAGTCCTGGCTGGATGCGAAGGTTTCGCTGTACCATACCTGGATGACATTGCCATTTACTCAGAAAACTGGAAAGAGCACCTTAAAAACTTAACTTCTGTTCTAGAGAGAATACAGAAAGCAAATTTACGACTAAAACCATCAAAATGTAAATTTGCACAAGATCAAGTGAGATACCTAGGCCATGTTGTGGGACAAGGACAACGAACCCCGGATGAAGTAAAGATCCTGGCTGTAAAGGAGTATCCTACGCCTAAAACTAAAACAGAAGTACGTGCTTTCTTAGGACTGGTAGGGTATTATCGCCAGTACATACCGAGATTTTCGGAAATTGCTTCACCCCTCACGGACGCTTTGAAGGGGTAACAAAAAAAGGAAATATACAATGGTCTGAAATATGTGACAAAGCTTTTAAAAATTTAAAAGAGTTGCTATGCAAGAAACCAATTCTGTATGCTCCCGACTTTGATAAAAGGTTTATTATACAAACCGATGCCTCAGACAATGGCATGGGTACTATGCCAATTAGATGATGAACAACGTGAACATCCTATCTTGTATATAAGCAAAAAATTTACTAAGTTTGAAATGAATTATTGTACTACTGAAAAGGAGTGCGCTGCTATCATCTACGCTATCAAGAAACTGCATTTTTATCTGGATGGTCAACAAGAATTCTTGATTCAAACTGATCATAATCCTTTGGTCTGGCTACAATCCAACGCAAATGTAACTCTAGATTGATGCGCTGGGCACTTTCATTACAACCTTATAATTTTAAGGTCATTCATCGCAAAGGATCTTTGCACAAGAACGTAGATGTTCTGAGTAGAATTAAGTAATGTAATAACTCTTAGTGTATGTAACCACGTTCAGGATTTATTTATTTATTTAATGTATACTCAACTCATGTATTTGAACGTTCTCCATTTTTTTTTCTTCCTATTTAAATGTGGTGTAAAAATATTTGTTTAAAACTTAAAATTTTCGGCCTGAAAATTTGAAAACTTATGAGAGAAGTTATCTTTTCTCTTTAGCATTTGAGCAAGCTGAGCTTATAAACTTTTGAAATTTACAGAACTTTTCCCATCGGTAAAAGTCTCTCCGTTGGGGGAGAGGTTGTAACAGATTTAAATAATATTAAAATCTTGTAGTTTAAATAATTTAAATAGATGAACATTAAGGTATTTGTGAATGGCAATATTTGAAACCAGACTCGAGTGCCTCGTGCGACTCTCGCACGAAGAATGTAATTTATTTTTAAAATGTTAGAATATGTTTTCTCTTCTTGTTTGTATGTCGCCATTTTGAGTGCTAAATAAAAGTTATTGCTGCGTTCCATCATTGGAGTTGCTTCATTTCGCCAAAGAAGTATTACAGTCTATGTATGTAACATGCTTAAATACGTTTACGAAAATATAGTGTGAACTCATAAACAGTAACTGAGCGCTAGTCTAATCTTAACTTACATTCACTTACGTGTTACATATTTACATACATTACAGAATGCGTTGTAATTACTCGGTGATGATTTGACGTTTGCCATTTAGACTCCTTTTTAAATCACATTTACAAAATAATAATTTATTTTTAAAATTTATTTATTTATAAATTTCTGACTTCTGAATAATGCTTAAATACTAAGTATTCCTGAGATTAAATCTTAAAATGCACATAGCTGATGACGTCTTTTTTTCCCTTTTCCTAGCCACAGAAGCAAATCGTAAGGCTTGAGAAAGTGACTGCAGCAAATGAAAGGGTGCTCAAAGGTATTTCCATTGTTTACTAAAAGTATCTTCAAAATGTCAGTGCATTACGGCATTTTCTAAAAATGTTTTAATAAATTTTCCTTTGCTATTTTGTAATTATATGATCTGAGAGAAAACATTTTAACCTCGATGGCTGCTAAATATTGAAAAAGTAGTACTATATAAAATTTTTATCAAGTATTAAATTTTACAGTTTGAGTGTGAGATTAAAGCGCTCGCTTTTATCTTCAATTGTGACATGAACATAAAATTATTTAAAAATGTGTATCAAAGTTATTATCTGTAAAGGAATAAGTGTACCTATTCCTATATTGTCCCATGCACACCTTTCACTATTGCCGTAAATCAACCTCCATTCCCTACTTTTCCAAAACTCGAAACTTTTTTCAGTGATTTAGATACAATAACATGCCGAACAAGTAATAATTTAGAAAATCAGCGTTAAATTTCATATTTTCACAGGCTTCCACAGTATTTCACAGTATTCTATCCGCCATCTTGTAGTACTTACTCAGTTGATTCAAGCATTGGAAAATATCGCTAAATAGGTTAGTATTTGCACCCATACTTCATCCTAAAAAAAGTTTGTGAAAACTTTTTTGTCGTCTTGTTGAAAACGTATGCATTTCCTCCTTTAGTTAAAAAACCCTATTAAAAACTCTGCCTCTACTTAGCCATCGTATTTCAATGTATAAAAGTAGATTTCAGTGCTGTTTATTCATGTTTCTACAGAGAATTTCCAAAGTTCTAGAGTGAAGTGACTTTCATTTAATGAAGATTATCATTTTTACCATACCTCTTGTAATTCATTGTAAGATTTTGATATTCGCACTTCTCTGTGATTAAAAGAGTGTGTGCAAATATCATTGGAGTTTTTTCTTTCTTGTATGAAAGTAACAAAGCGTTAAATGGAGCCAACTATGGAAGCGGCACCATCCATATTAATAACAATGCAACTCTTCTAAGAAAGTGTTTTGTTTCCTTCCAGGTACGCAGATAAAATATTAAATATATATACTCTCTTGCTTGTCTCCAGTAATGTTTTAGAACAGAGGACATTTTCTTGAATTTTTCTCTCAATAATAAATCTTACGAAAGCTAGAACATAACATTTGTTGGTTAAATCTGTTGGAAAAATTGAAATTTTTGAATTTATTACAAAATTATTTTCAACATCATGTGACATATATTTGCTTCATCAAATTTCTGCATTGTTCAAAAGTGGAATAATTTTCAGTTTTCCTTACTACATCTTCTTATAACGTTTCACACACTGTAAATTTACATGCCGGCATTATCAGATTGTCACCAATTGTATGATTTTTCCTTTTCTGTACTATAACCTCTACTACCAAACAACTTGATTCCTGAGTTTTTTCATTAACTTTTAATGTGTTTACAGAAGCTGTACTTTGTTTATCTTGAGATTTTAAAACACTTTTAAACTAATAATTTTTGAATGCTTTTGAACGACGCGAATGAAGAATTAACTTAAACTATTTTATGACAAATAGTAAAAGATTGCGTCGGTATATCAAGCGCAGCCATCACATTGATTAAAATCGAAGTTTTATGTAATAAGAAATTTGTTTCCGAAATATGTTATATTTGTAAAATAACAGTAGCAGTATTAAAACATAAATGTAATAAATATTTTTCCCTCATAACTGTTGTTTATATCCTTAGCTTAATGTTATCTTTAAGTCATTTATGTGCAATTATTTGTATTTTGATTATGTTGCATGCTGTATATTATAGAGAAAATATAAGAAGGTTGAATAAGGAAACCATTCTTTTAAAAGAATTCGAAGCAAGAAAAGGAGTGGTGTATGATTACAATGTTTTCAGACGAGTTCCTGTTAGTTTAGCTATACATCACCATGCAAGACCTTTAAAGGCATTGTCTATTTATGCCACATGCGAAATTCTCAAAAATAAATTAACAAAATAAATATATATTTTTTTAAAATTTTCCTGACACTTATTCATTTTTAAAGCTTTCTCATTTCTTAGTCACCTCATTCTACTTCCATAATATAGCGCGGAACATTTCCTAAGAACGCTGTAGCAGGGACCCAGAATTATTAAGATGTTGTTCGTAATTGTTTGGGCTGGAATTCATTGGGTTATTAAGCTGGGCGTACGCAGCATATAATTAAATTCACAAGATATACATACATAAACTAGTGAATCATACTGTAATTAATATAAATATTCCTATTGTATAATTTGATATATAAGGCATTAATAGAGAAATTATTTTAAGTTAATGTTACAATCTATTTAATATCCGAAAGTTTTTAGCAAATCATTCATTGCCTTTTGACTACTGACAAAATTATTTCCACATTTATGCATTAAAAAGCCTTTATTGCGTATTCATTCTCGGATGGCTATCTGAGCTCACCGCTTAGGGGAATAACAGCTGTTGACTCCTTTCATGTATCAAACACACTAATATGTAATTACTGGATTTGGCTGATACATTTTATCAACATCCAAGGACTAATTAAATACCTGTATTCCAAGCGCAATTTCTGTCTAATTAAATTGTATAGACATACTTTAATTGAATATCGAGGCAATACAAGAGCATGTCTTACAAGTGAGAATGTTTTGAGAGCAAAATCTCTTGGGACAGCTTTGAATTAAAATATAGCGTCAGTGATAAGAAACGCCACATAGCATTTACACTTGTTTGTTAAGCAGAGCAAATGATATCGGCATGGTATTTAATTTAAATTATTATATACAAGAACATTATATTAATAAATTTGGTTTGAAATATATAATAAATATGTGCTGTTCTTTTACGTTGTATCAATCTCTAATGTTACACAGGTTGAAGTTTCTTTTTTATATTAATATTTTATAGCTGTTAGACAATGTCATGTATTCCGGGCTAAATAAGCTAGGTACGAAGCCTAGAGAAAAGCAGTACCAAAAACTGCTCCTGTAAAGTAAATGCGCTTGGAAACAAATCTTATCGTTACTGCTAATACTTCTAACTTACTATAGAAAAACAGTATCATAGACATATTTTTACTTTAGGATAAGCGAGCCAGGAATGGATCCTAGGCGAACGAAAAAGGCTGCATGGTCGATTTTTGTAGTTTTTCCCATGTGTAAAATGAATACCAGACAGTTTCTATTAGAAAGACCTTCACGAAGGCATCCCCATTCAATACGCAGATAGCCCTCGTGACTTTTTCATATTCAAACAATTTAATATAGCGCAGCTCAGAGACTTCTGATCTATACTACTTAAAGCAAAGACTCAGCTATTTCAGTTTTATGACAACGTGTGGGTAAAAGTTTTATGACAACGTGTGGGTTTATGACAACGTGTGACAACGTGAGGAAAAAGAGATTTTGTGACTATGCAGGGTCTCTAAGTCGCAGTCTCGTACGAGAAAAAAAAATGACCTAGATTCCGTCAACATGTTTAATTGTAAAAGCACACTGTTTCTTTGCTTGTGTTCGAGCCCATTTATATTATTTTCGTTCTGCTCTCGCATATAATACTTAATTTTTTAAAAATTTTATTACTTTTTTTATTAAAAGGATTTTTGCGGGAAAACGACATGTTTTTAAAGTTACTTTTCTTGCTTCTTTCCAATAACATGCTAGAATAAGATTGGTTTAAGAAATTTAAATTATTTAGATGCCACTTGTGACAAGCATAAGAAGTGTTTAGTTTCATGAAAGCGTATACTGCTTTTGAGCATTTAGACAGAAAAGAACTCGTCATTCTTTAAATATGAAAATGAGAGTAAATCAGGGATAATGTTAAAAATTAGGAACATTCTGTAGATGTAATTGATGTATTTCATTTCATCTGGAACAAGAATGAGTATTTAGAGCTCATACAAAATTTGAAAACTTATGAAAGTATATCATATTGAAAATTTCAGCTATTTACGATAAAATTCTTAATCATTTCAGTACGAACTCTATTTTTAGAGGTATATAATTTGCACTAAATACCATATTTCCTCGCCTATTTCCCTCCTCCCCCCCCCTTTTTTTTTTTTTTTTTTTTTTTTTTTTTTTGTACTCATGTTATCGGCCAAAAATAGAGACAGGTGGGGGAGACAAGTTTAATTTACTAAGAAAACAACAAATAAATAAAAAGTAATCATGGATAAACTGCAGGTAGCTATGATAACAATAAATCTTTAAAACAAACCTACATTCCAGAATACATAGTGATATTAATTACAATAGCTGATAAAATAATTTCATTTTTAATTCCATGTAAATTGAATGTCACTGATTATTACTGTTTCTCTGCTATTCCCTAAGCCTCAAATAATGCATAAAAATTAAAGAAGGAGAATATCCGAATGGATCGAAATCTTAAACTGAATGTCAGTCTGTGTTTGCTTTACTGCGATGGGTTGATTTTTGTATTAGGCTGCCATAAAGTTCAATAGTAAGAAGGGAAAGGGTCAGCATGGCCTTAGCAGGTTTATTTCGATGGTTTGCCTTTGTCAGTAAAACGAAACAAATTATGTGGATGAAAACGTTTTAAAACTTTCGGGAGCTTATTTTCTGAAAGCAGTGAAAAAACAGAAAATTACACAAATGATTTAAAACTTTTGAAAGTCTGGCACTAAAAGACTAAGGGTAAAATCCCCGGTTCAGTGTTTATCATACTGAGGTATGTCATTCCAGTTGTATATTATATTGAGGAATATCAGAAAATGAATTATTTATTATTCTGATGCATGTCAATAGTGAAGGAAGTTATTGTAAGCTTTATTCGCAATTTTTGTAACATCTTGAGCTAGGACAAAACTAGCAAGGAATTAAAACTATAAAATAATTAGATTTCACAAAAATAAGTAAACTGGAGGAATTTGCATATTTTTCAACAATAAAATGTATCCTTATTAAAGTGAAAACTTAATTATATAAAACATTTCACTGAGATGTTAGACCTAATTTCTCTCAAACCGAAAAGAGAATGGAATCCATAGAATAAATTATCGAGATTTTCTGAAAATAAGTGCATAAATGCACTATGTGAATTAATTTTCTAACAATAGTTCAAGAATAACTTATTAGACCTATTTATATATTTTGCATGGATGGATGATAACACTTAGTTTGACTTGTTTGCGTATAGAATAGTTACAAATCCTAACAGACGTTAAGGTCACTCATTGTGTCTGACATTAACTACAAAGTCTTGATTTTAAAATAACGTTTTTATGTAAACACAAACACTGGACAGAAATGCACTTCTTTTGCTAACAATATCAGCCACCACTTATGGTGATGTAACTAAATAATCAAATTAAATTTAATACGCACATTAGTAGTTGGAGACTACACAAGTTCACTTAAATCTAAGCTGACTCTAATTGGAGCTAACTCTACATGGAGCATCAAAATAAATGTCAGCAGCAAGTCTCAAAATCAAATAATTTCAAACTTATCTGAGCTGGCAGGAACTACGTAACATGGCCACGAGGGGCAGAAACACCTTCTGTCTTACAATCCAAAAACCTCAGCTTACTCTCCCTCGTAAATTACATTCTGGTTAGGAAACGGAAAGGGGAAATTATAATAAAGATCTAAATCGTAATAACTGGTTAGTTTTAAATAATAACCCTACAATTTGAATCAGAAACATAATCAGTGACTGAAAAATATCAACATTTAGAATTGAAAAACGGTATTATACTGAAAGGAAAGGACTGAGATATTCAGGATTTTAATCTCAAGCTAAACATCTGCAGTCAGAGCTACTGTATTTGTTGGAGTATTTCTCCTTCTTGTGTATTACCTTGAAATAATTGATTCATGCTTCAGTATTTCTGAATTTTTCGCATAATTTTCAACTTACTACCTGAAATCAAGAAACAGATATTTCCAGAAGAATGATCTGTTTACGGAATTTTTCTAAAGGATATTCTTTGTAAATGCACTTCGCGATCGTTGACTCAATTCTAAAATCCTATATAAGATCATTTATCCCTTGTCTCATGGAAACAAAGGGAAAAGGATACAAGCGAGACAGAGTATAAAGATATTTCTTCTCTGGGGATCAGTCTCTGAGAGGTGTTGAGATGAGAGTATAAGATGTCTTTTATTCCGTAGGAGAGGAATATCACTTATTACACATCTCATTTTCTCTCTCTGTGGTCCATTTCCAACCACTAGTTACAATGGGCTGCTTTAGGCATTGAGGGTATAGTTTAAAATTCCCCCCCCCTGTACTCCTATTGCTATAAGTCTTTAATAGCAATAAAAATAACCACCAGATTTGAATTACGTAGCTTTACGAGAAATTTTGCTTTTGCTTCAATCTAAGGGATGGATAGCTTTGTGCAAACACGGAAATTTAAAAATAAAGATATTGAAGACTAATTAAGCTTAATATTAGCCCGTCTACGATCATACACTGTTTTAATGTGTACGCGCTTGTTTTACCTCTGTCTTCAGAAACGGTGTCTGCCGCGTAAATTTTCCCTTTTGATTTTCAAGTAGTAAAATTAAAGTAAGAAGGGAGAAATTGTGCGATGTACAAAAAAATGAGCATTTTGCTTTTCTTTTGCTGATACACGTACTTTTTACTCCTAAAAGTTTCCAACACTGAGCGTATTTTAGAAGAATTATCCATAATCTTTAAATCAAGGTTTCTCAATTTTTTTAAAATTTGTTGTTTGTTGGCAAGTTGAAGTTTTTTAAGACATGTTTCTTTATACGAGATTTTATTTGATTAAACTTCAGATCTGGAATATTTTTATAAAGGAATTTACAGAAAGAGCCAAATTAGCCCAGATGCATGTAAAACATTTTAAAAATATTAAGCATAAATATAAATATATAAATAAATCTTATAACATGCAAACTTCGTAAGAAATACATAACATTATTTATGCA